CCAAAGATTACTATTTCGACTCCTATGCCCACTTTGGCATACATGAGGTGAGGGCAGGGGAGAGGGGGGGTGCCTGCAGGGGAGGGGGGCGATCCTGAGCTCAGCCTGGGCCATAAGCACCCCAGGGTCACCTCCCACACCCCCTCGGTTGCCTTGGAGACCTAGCTTAGCCTGCAGCTTCAGGCCGCCTCCTGGGCCGCTGGGGCCCTAGACCGCATGCGCATCGGGCGCGCTGCACCGGGTCGGGACCCGCGGGGTTCCGGCGCCCTCTGCTGGGCGTCCGCGGCACTGGCTTCCCAGCTGTCCTTCCACCTGCAGATGGTTCTGGACCCTTTTGCACTGCCAGACGGCTCGGTGCCAGAGAGCAGCTGGGATGGGCTTTTCATTTCTTTCTCTTCCCTCTCTTTTCAATTTTTTTGATGCTGGACCTTGAACCCAGGACCTCAAATCTGCGAGACAAGTACTCTCCCACGCAGCAATATAGAGCTGCCTTTCTTTCTTTTTTTTTTTTTTATTTTTTTATTTTTTTGCTTTTTGCTTTTGGATCACAACAGGCGATGCACAGGGGTTACTCCAGGCTCTGCACTCAGGAATTACTCCTGGAAGTGCTCAGGGGACTGTATGGGATGCTGGGAACCGAAAGCAGATCGGCTGTGTGCAAGGCAAACGCCCTACCCACTGTACTATCGCTCCAGCCCCGCTGCCTCTCATTTTAAAACCGATCAGATAGATGGGACCAGCGGCAGCGGCAGAGCACTTAACTCTGGGTTCCCTCCCTGTACGCTGCGTGCACACACAGCAAAACCAGAATCCTCGGGGGCTTACATTTCCAGGGTAGAATCTGGCCAGATGGGACTTGGGTTTTAGTGCAGCCAGATGTTCTGCAGATATGGGAAAGTGAGACCATGTCTGGATCCTAAGCAGTAAGCAAGTGGGGTGACCAAGCCCCTGAGGGACTGAATTCTCCTGCTATAGATGAGGGGCATGTGTGTGTGTGTGTGTGTGTGTGTGTGTGTGTGTGTGTGTGTCCGTCCCCGTCCCATGGCATGGCTCTTCCTTTGCATCCACAGGAGATGCTGAAAGATGAGGTGCGCACCCTCACGTACCGCAACTCCATGTTCCACAACCGGCACCTCTTCAAGGACAAAGTGGTGCTGGATGTGGGCTCGGGCACGGGCATCCTCTGCATGTTTGCTGCCAAGGCCGGGGCCCGCAAGGTCATCGGGGTGAGTCTTCTGGGCATCCTGTGGGCTGGGGAATTGGAGCCAGGGCCTCGGGGCTGGGCCTGGGGTATTCTCACCCTCCCTTCTCACTGGGGCCCCCAGATCGAGTGTTCCAGTATCTCTGATTACGCGGTGAAGATCGTCAAGGCCAACAAGTTAGACCACGGTGCGTCTGGGTGGGAAGCGGGGGGCTGGTGGGAGCCAAAGGGAGCGAGACGGATGCAGATTGACCTCACTTTTATGTAGGATGGAAGGGAGCATTGTAGAGGAATAACTTGTGCCCAGAAACAAACGGGGTGGGGGGCAGAACGGGGCCACCAGGATAGCGGCCACTCTACGTGAGGCAAACTGATACAGGATGCCCTTCGGGAACAGAATTGCAAACTGCAGTGCCTGAAAGGGGGCAGGAAGAGTGTCTGCTGTCAAGGCAGGCCTTGGGGGGGGGACACGAATATCAGGACACCAGGGGACTATGGACACTGATGAAGGAATCAGTGCTTTGTTGTGTGCCTGAAACCCAATTTGAAGAACTTCGTAATTCGTGCTGATTGAAAAGTTCAAGAGTGCAACTCTCAGGGCTGGAGAGTGTCCCCAGAGCCTCATCAGGCGCGGTCCTTAAGCACCCAGGTGTGGCCCCCAAAATATATATTGGGGGGGGAGTTGACAGGATGTGGTTTCAGCTCTGCAGTCCTTTGGGGGATGGGAATAGGGGTGCGTGGTGGGGCCCGGGGGGAGGGGGCGGCCAGCCTGTGGCAGCGTGCTGTGTACCTGCAGTGGTGACCATCATCAAAGGGAAGGTGGAAGAAGTGGAGCTGCCAGTGGAGAAGGTGGACATCATCATCAGCGAGTGGATGGGCTACTGTCTCTTCTACGAGTCCATGCTCAACACTGTCCTCTATGCGCGCGACAAGTGGCTGGTGAGGGGGGGACCCAGCGGCCTGGAGGACCTGGGGGTCCGTGGGGGGTTGTGGGCTCTGATCACAGCCTGAGGACCCCTATTGACAGGGTCTGGCCTACATGTAGCTGGGTGGCCATGGTCTGGAGCCCTGCAGGGGCACAGGGGACACCGGATCAGTGCCAAGTGGGCTGGGGGCGTCCTGCCGCCTCCCTCACAGTGGCTCTTGGCTCCCCGCATTCCACAGGCCCCGGACGGCCTCATCTTCCCAGACCGAGCCACACTGTACGTGACGGCCATCGAGGACCGACAGTACAAGGACTACAAGATCCACTGTGAGCTCAACCCCAAGGTGGGGGGGGGTCGAGTCCCCTCTTGGGGTTCCTGCACCTCAGCCCTCACCCCCCTCTGCTGCCCCAGGGTGGGAGAACGTGTATGGCTTTGACATGTCCTGCATCAAGGATGTGGCCATCAAGGAGCCCCTGGTGGACGTGGTTGACCCCAAGCAGCTGGTCACCAACGCCTGCCTGATAAAGGTGAGAGGCCAGCCCACCCACGTGCATGAGAGTTGGAGGGTGGGGAGGGCAGGGACGGGCCAGAGCTGAACGCAGGCTGCTGTGCTCCACTTTGGGGTACAGTCATAGACTGTGTCCTGGGCTCCTGCACAGGAGGTGGACATCTACACGGTCAAAGTGGAAGACCTCACCTTCACGTCGCCCTTCTGCCTGCAAGTGAAGCGGAACGACTATGTGCACGCACTGGTGGCTTACTTCAACATCGAGTTCACGCGCTGCCACAAGAGGACCGGCTTCTCCACCAGTGCGCGGGCCGCGGGGTCACGGGAGGGGGACGGGGGCAGGGGCAGGGTGGGCCCTAGCTGACCAGGCCCTGCCCGCAGGCCCCGAGTCCCCGTACACGCATTGGAAGCAGACGGTGTTCTACATGGAGGATTACCTGACAGTGAAGACTGGCGAGGAGATCTTCGGCACCATAGGCATGCGGCCCAATGCCAAGAACAACGTGAGCGGCTGGCCCAACCCATGGGGTCCTGCAGTGCCCCCTCCTGCCAGCACCGTGGTCCCACTGCCCCCTCATATGGTTTTATTGGCATCTTCTTGTCCTGGGGACCCAGCTGTGATCAAACTCTACCTCTCTGGCGGGGGAGGAGGGTGATACTGGGTCACACTTAGGGGGACAGTCCAGCCCCTGGCAGGTGGATGAGTCTGGGATGCTGGAGACAGCAGCAGGAGGCTGAGTGCTGGGAAGGAGGTCCTGGGATCATGGGGGGGTACCTTACTCCAGGGAGTCAGGGGAGGGGGTGCTGGAGCTGAGAATGTCCCCTATACCCCACCAGCAGGTTTAAGGTGCCCTGGGGTGGGTGTTTGACCACTGGGGGCCCTTCTCCCACTGATGGCTGCGGGTCTGTCCCCGCAGCGCGACCTGGACTTCACCATCGACTTGGACTTCAAGGGCCAGCTGTGTGAGCTGTCCTGCTCCACCGACTACCGGATGCGCTGAGCCCGGCCCCTCCGTGGCCGGGCCGGCCCTGCATGGGCCCAAGGGCTGCGGCCTTCTTAGGCGGTTTTGGGGCTCCCCCTTTCTCTCCCTCCCTCTCACAGAAGGGGGCTTTGGGGGCCTGGGCTGGGAGGGGGGCACATCGTGACTGTGTTTTTCATAACTTATGTTTTTATATGGTTGCATTTACGCCAATAAATCCTCCGCTGGGATGCCTTGGCTTCCTGGGGGTGCAGTGGGGTTGGGGTTCTGATTCCTGTGTCCTGCGCTGGATGGGGTGCACTGCCCACCACAGTTCTCCACCTTGACTTGTGGGTCTTGGTCTCACTCCTTTGCCCCTGCTTCTGGGGAGCACCCCCAGATTGGGCCTTCTGTCCCCTGCTTTCTTGTGGTGCAATGGGTCGCAGTACAATTGCCCTATTGGCTCCCAGCATCTCCGGTACAGCGGCACTCCTACCCACTTCCTCTCACATACACACACCCCCCCCAGGTTCCTGCAGGAAGAGTGCGAGGTTGGGGTGTATCAGGGTGGCCTTCAATATAGGCCAGTGCCTGCTCTGAGCACACTACAGGGCCACCTTGAGTGGTTTGCCCCTATGTCACTGCCCATTGCTTCTGTCTCCTTCCAGGGAAGCTGTGCCCCACAGGCAGTGAGAAAATCCTGGCATACCAGGTGATCAGAGGTGCAGCTGTTTACAGTATTGTGAATTCCCTGACCTCAGTCAGAGGCCTGGGGCTCCAGGTCCCACTCAGTGACACTTGGGCACTGATCTTAGCTGACACTTTACCCTCACCCCACTTCGGGCACACGCCCTGCCATCACTCTTCATTGTCCAGATACTTGTACCTAGGGGCCAAGGGACATTGCCAAACCGGTGCCACCCAGCTGCAGCCCCCAGTGGGCATCGTCCAAGCCTGCCTCCAGCTGCCCCACAGCTGGTAGCCAAGCACTGACCCTCCTGGCTCCACTGCCCTTGGTGCTGCCAGTGCACGTTCATGGTCCATGGTCTGCGGAAGGCACTACCCTCAATCATAAATTTAGGGTTCCTGAGGGTGCCCAGCACCTCATGTGAGTCCCTGAGCCCACCAGGATCAAGTCTGATCATCCCGGTTGTGGCCCGAAAAGAAAAGCCACAAAGGGAGCCTGAAAGCCCAATAGGGGCTTCAGAAGAGGCCAAAGGCAGAATTAGGCCAAGCAGTAGGAGAGGGAGGACTGGAACCGAGGGCGCGGATTGGGTGCAGACTGGAGGTGGGTAGGTGCTGGAACATTGTGGAACATTGTTGGGGGGTGGGCGTGGGCGTGGCCATAACGCTGAGGAGTGGGCGGGGCCATCGGCGGGGTTGGGAGTGGGCGGGGCGATAACGCCGAAAGCCTGGATGGGGCGGGGCCAGAGCGCGGAGATCGGAACCGAGCAAGGATAAAGCTCCGGACTTTAATACCCTGCGAGGCACCCGCAAGACAGAAATCGGGGTTCCTGGATGTCGGGGAGACAGGCAGGAGCTCCGGAGCCCCGTCGACTGAGTCGCGGACTCGTCGCTCTGGGATTGGACATATGCACGGGGGAGACTCGGGTCCCGGCTCTCGGAATCGGGGTGGGGGTGGGGTACCCGGTCTTGGTCTCTAGGTTCCGATCGGCGGATCCCTGACTCAACGCGGTAAGACCAGGACGCCTTCAGGGGCCTGGAGGAGTGCACAGGGTCGGGCTGCGGGCCTCCCCATCACTGGTCCAGGGGCTCTCCGGCATCCGGGGCTGCGAGGCATGCGCAATAGGGCGCTCCCTCCCCACCCCCTCCAGCCCCGGGAGCGAGGGGGAGGGCTGCAGGCCACCCGGGAGCTGGTGACTCCAAAGACCGGCGACCCCCTCCTCCACCCACCGCACCCCTCCTTGGAGTGGGGAGCGGAGATGGGGTGGCCGTGCAGGTGCGCGTTTCGAGTGCTGCTGAGGCTGGTGTTTTTCCCGAGCCGGGACCGCTCACCCGGGGTCCACTTTGCCTCCCCCACGATAGATCCGGCCAGCCTTTCGCTGGGGGCTCTGCCAGTTCTCAGCGGAGCCGAGGAAAGGGGCGCACCCAGGCTCCCCCTTCTGCCTCTCCGTGTGCTCGCGACCGCGACTGCCGTGTGGGCTCGGGGTCAGCACCCTCAGGCTCCGCCGCGGTTAGGGAAGAGTGGGCTGGCTCTGCGGGCGGGGCGCGGGCCGGGGCCCTGACCCGCGTCCTCCCCCCAGGCCCCGGGCAGCCATGGCCGAGGCGCGCCAGGCCGGGGGCTTCCCGCCGTCGTCGCTGAAGCCGCAGGAGCTGGGCGCGCCGGTCCTGCGGGACGTTTACCTGTCGGGTCTCCGCTCCTGGAGGAGGCATCTCTCCCGGCTCTGGGTGAGGAGCGCCGCCGCCTGCCTTCCCCTGAGCCCCAGGCCACGGCCTCCTGGAGTCCGCCTTCCCGGGTGCTGGGGTCCCCATCTAGGAAGAGATATGCCCACTTCCAATTTGGGAAACTGCTCACTGTTTGCGGCCGCTTCTCTGGGCAGCCCCCTTCCTTTCCCTTGTGCCCTAAGCATGACCTTCACCCCAAAATCTAGGATCAGTAATTCCCGACCTGCAGGGTGAACCCTTTCCCACTCACCCCCAGGTTCTGAATTAGGGGTTTCACTTTGCAGAACCTCAAGACCTGATCAGGATCTTGGGCAGCCCACACCCTGGTCCTTTAGAGAAGTTTTGTCACCCAGCTCTGCCCACCAAATCAGAGAGCCCTTTTCTTTACTGGGGGTCCACACCCAGGATGCTCAAGGCTTACTCCCAGCTCTGTGCTCACGAATCACTCCTTGCACTGCTCAGGGCAGGAGTACTGGATTGAATATGGAGCTAGAGTGATGTACAGAGCAGGCAGGGTGCTTGCCTTACACACTGCCAATAAGTTCTATCCCTGGTACTACATATGGTCGTGTTCCCCCCACCCCCACCCCAGTCCCCCAGCCCCAGGTGACGTCCAAAAGAAACAACAAAAAAGTCAGGGACCGGAGCCGGAGCCATAGAACGAGGGGAGGGTGCTTGCCTTGCATGCAGCGAACCCAGGTTTGATCCCCGGCATCCCATATGATCCCCCAAGCACCTCCAGAAGTGATTCCTGAGCATCACCATATGTGACTCCAAAACAAGGCAGCCACTGTTCTGATGTTTGTTATTTTTATTTCTGTGCTTTTAGGTTGCACTTGGCAGTGCTCAGGACTTAACAGGAATCACTCCTGGCGGTACTGGTGGGAGAGGGACTATATGGGGTTCCAGGGATCAACCCAGGTTGGCCATTTGCAAGGCAAGCACCCTCCCCTCTATATGCCCACTCCAGCTCAGGTTGCCCAGTATCTATCTGCTTGCATTGAGTTAGAGCCTGAAGCTCTTTCAGAGTCAGATGTTGTCTCTGTGCCTCATTCAATGCCTAAACAGAAGCACGCACACACAGACACACACATGCATAGATGCACACATACATGCATGCACACACATGCATAGATGCACACACACATGCATGCACACACATGCATATGCGCACACATATGAATGAAGGCGCTCCACTCTCAGTACTTGTCCCTTCCTCTCTCCTGGCTACCTGTTTCTCTCATGTCTCTCCTCTTCCGCACCAAAACCTCAGGAGCTGTCTGGAAGCTACAGCTTCTGGTCCCTGGTTTGGGGATCCTAACACCCTAGGCTCAGCCTCTCAGCTTACCCACTTATACAATCTTTTGGGGCTGGAGCAATTGTACAGTGAGTAGGGCCTTTCCCTTGCACGCAGCCGGCCCGGGTTCAATTCCCAGCATCCCATATGGTCCCCTGAGCACCGCCAGGAGTAATTCCTGAGTGCAAAGGCAGGAGTAAGTAACCCCTGTGCATTGCTGGGTGTGACCCAAAAAGCAAAAAAAAAAAAAAATTAAATAAGATCTTTGGAGCTGGAGCAATTGTACAGCAGGGAGGGCACTTGCCTTGCATGCAGCAGACCCAGGTTTGATCCCCAACATACCTTATGGTCCCCTGAGCCCTGCCAAGAGTAATTTCTGAGTCTAGAGACAGGAGTAAACCCTGAGCACTGCCAGGTGTGGCCCAGAATTCAAAGCAACTAAATAATCAAGTCAAATCAAGGAGCTCTATCTTTTGTCTCATTTCATAGGTGGGGAGAGACCCAGCCTCAGAGAGGGCCTTTGTATTGTTCCAAAGTCCCAAGGCTTGGTGCCCACATGAGTGCTGGCCCATGTCCGAGGGAGGTGCCGAGGGAAGGAATGGCCAAGCTTATGTCCTGTCTTCCTGCAGAATGACATCCTCACGGGAGTGTTCCCTGCCAGCCCCCTCAGCTGGCTCTTCCTCTTCACTGCAATCCAGCTCGCCTGCTTCCTCCAGCTGGACCCCTCCCTGGGCCTCATGGAGAAGATCAAAGAGTCCTTGCCTAACTGGTGAGCTCCCCCTTTTTAGTCCAGTAACCTTCTCCCCCACCAGCAAGCTTCTCCATCAGTGTGGTGTGCCTGCTAAGGAACTGTACCCTGGGGGGTGAGGGAGATGACTCAGAGGGCTGGAACCCAGGCTTTGTATGCAGGCACCCCGAGCACCTCCTCAGGAGCACCCCCTGAGCACCAAGGCAAGAATTCTGAGCCCTGCTGAGTGTGCGGCTGGAAAAGCAAAAAAAAGAAAGAAAAAAAATAACCTATGAATTTTCATCTGTGTCAGATTAATAAAAGCACACCATCCATTTTAAAAAAAACAAAGTAATTTTCTCTCTCCTCTGTGCCTATTTTCCATCCTGGATGTTTCTTGCTAAGACAGAGGGTAACAAGCTAGAAAACAGCCAGACGTCGTCCTGAAGTGTCCAGAAGCATATGGCCTATTCCCAGCTGCTCAGTCTTATTTTTTAAATTTTATTTATTTATTTATTTGCTTTTTGGGTCACACCCAGCAATGCTCAGGGGTTACTCCTGGCTTTGCACTGAGGAGTTACTCCTGGCGGCGCTCAGGGGACCATATGGGATGGTGGGAATCGAACCTGTGTCGGCCATGCGCAAGGCAAACGCCCTACCCACTGTGCTATTGCTCCAGCTCTGCTGCTCAGTCTTAGACAAGAGGCTTCACCATCTTTGGTGTCAGGGTCTTTATCAGGAGGCACAATAATTGTTCCTTAGGGTGATTGGAAACGTTAAACAAAAGCAGGTATATGGAGCCAGGGAAAGTTTCAAGGCTAGTACTCATGCTTTCCATACTGAAGGTCTATCATTCCCAAGCAGTCCAGGAGTGAGCACTGAGATGTGAGCAGCCCCCCCCCCCAGCACTGCTGGGTGTGACCAAACTCAGGTGCATGGGACATTCAGGACAGTCCTTGGTTCTGTCATTGGTGTTCACTTTGGGGAAGGATTGAAAAGCAGGAGGAGGGGAGGGTCAGTTTCGAATAGTTTACTATCCTCCTGGGGAAGGTCCAGATTCTGCCAACAGCTGCAAGGAGCAGTTGCAGAATCAAAGGGAGTAATTTCCAGGAAAGTGGACGTGTCTGTTTGAAGAGGGGAAATGATGCCCCCGTCACAGCAGGATATGTCTCCCATCCCTCTGTATCTTGCAAACATGTTGATTTAGTGTTACTTTGAGATCAGTATTTCCCAAAGTTGAATATGACTTGGCTTTGGGTTGTTGCTGTTGTTGTTTGGGGGGCACATCTGGCAGTGCTCAGGGCTTACTGCTCAGGGTTCACTCCTGGTGGTGCTCCCAGCACCATATGCAGGGCTGGAGATCAAACCCAGATCGGCCATGTGCAAAGCAAGCACGCATCCAGCTGTACTGTCTCTCAAGCTTCTTGGTTTTGTCTTGGTTTTGGGGTTTTGAGCCACCTTCTGAGGTGCTCAGGGATTACTCCTGACTTTATGCTCAGGGATCACTCTTGGTGGTGCTCAGGGGAAGATATGTGCTGCCAGGAATCAAACCTGAGTTTGCTGTGTGCAGGAGCCTACCCACTGTGCTATCTCTCTGTCCATGTTTGTATTGGGTTTATGTGGACAGCATGAAAAAGATGAGTAACACCCAGCCCTACCTCAAGGGATCTTAGTAGGTCTGCTTTTGAGCCACATCTGAAGGTGGGAGGTGGCTATTTTTGACTCTTTGCCCACGTGTCACTCCCTGCAGTGCTCAGGGACCATGTGGTGACAGGGCTGGAGCCCAGCCTTCCTATGGGCAAAGCAGGCGCTCCAATCCATTGATCTGTCTCTCCATCCCAGGAAGTTGCTTTCCTCACCAGTTCCCAGCTGTGCCTCAGCCACATTTTGAGAATTTGAAATCTTGGAGGGACAATATCCCTGCAGGTTGGACAAAATACCAGCTTCCACTGACCTAATGTCTGCCTGTGTCCATGGGAAGCCTAGAAACTTGTCCCCAGGACCTGATCCTTACCTTTCAGCAGGTAAGGCATACGAGCTGCAGGCACTGACCCAGGCTGGAGCTCCAATGTGCCTGCCTAAGCTCCTCTGAGCACTGCCAGAGGTGATCCTTAAGTGCAGAGCCAAGAGTCCTAAGATCTGAGCACCACAAAATCTGGCCAAAAAAACCCTTTAAAATTTTCCAAAAGGGGCTCACTCTTCAAGCCTGTGTTCTCCCTTGAACGTGTATTTCACTTGCTTATCTCAATTTTCTTTGCCTGTTTTCACTCTGGGCGGGGGCTGCTATGTGTGCTCACTCTCTCTTGCTTCATGTCTCCTTAAATAAGTTTCAATAAAACTTTTACCTCACCAAAGAAACAAAAAGAAGGGTCAGACGGATAGTACAGTGAGTAGGACGCTTGCCTTGCATGCAGCCAACCTGGGTTCTGTCCCCGGAGTATTGCCAGGAGTAATTTTTTGTGCAGAACTAGGAGAAACCCCTGAGCACTGCCAGGGGTGACCCCTCAAAAAAGAAAGCAAAAATGAAAACAAAAAGAAAAGAAAAGGAAAAATGAAAGATAGTTGTCCACCCCCTGAATTGGGGAGACAGAGGGTCACATCTACTTTACAAATCTGGATGGAGACCAAGGGCCAGAGAAACAGCATAGCAAGGCACTTGCCTTGTACGAGGCCCACCCAGGTTCTATCCCCAGCATCCCATATGGACCCCGAGCCCTGCCAGGAGTACTTCCTGAGTGCAGAGGCAGGAGTAACCCCTGAGCATCGCAGGCTGTGGCCCCCAAAAACCAACCAAACAAAAAATATCTGGAGACCAGGGATATCTGATGGGATGATCTGATACTACAGATCAGCCTCCTAAAGCCCAAAGACCTGTATGCAGGGACTGGGGAGACAAGTGGCCCCAACTACCCATCCCCCAAAAAATAAAAATCAGTAGACAGTACTAGCAGGAGCTGCGGGGCTGGAGCGTGCGTGTGTGAGTGAGTGAGTGTGTGTGTGTGTGTTTGAGAGACCCAGGCCACCCCTTGCTCTTCCCCAGGGGTGGACAGCATCACCGGCTTCGGGGCGTCCTGGCCGCGGCGGTCTTTGCTTCCTGTCTCTGGGGCGCCTTAATCCTCACGCTGCATGTGGCGCTGCGGCTGCTTCTGTCCTACCACGGCTGGTTCCACGAGCCCCACGGAGCTATGTCGACCACGACCAAGACCTGGCTAGTATGCGATAGGCCCGCTCCTCTCTCCCCTGTTTGACTCCTCCTCTTTCTCGCAGCTAGTCACACCCTGCCTCCCCGCCCCCCAGAGGGGCCCAGTGCCCCAATAACGGCACCTTTCATCCAGGCCCTGGTTCGCATCTTCTCTGGCCGCCACCCGATGCTCTTCAGTTACCAGCGCTCACTGCCGCGCCTGCCAGTACCCTCGCTGCAGGACACCGTGCGCCAGGTACCGACCCCCAACTGCGATGAGGTCCGGGGCCAGGGGGACCCTGATTAAGCCTATTCTCCCCCCGCCCCCCACAGTACCTGGAGTCGGTGGAACCCCTCCTCTCCAAGGAGGACTTCGAGGAGACGACCGTCCTGGCGCAGAAATTCCTGAGGCTGCAAGGGTCCTCACTGCAGCGCTATTTGCGGTTCAAGTCGTGGTGGGCGTCCAATTACGTGAGTCCTAGACGCCCTCTCACGCTCACCGCCCAGACCCTGCAGTGATTGGCGCGTGCCCACGCCTGTCAACATTCAGGGACACGCCCCCAAATGTGTATTCCTGGACCCGCTCCCTGCTCAGTCCTCGCGCCCCTCCCCATGCTGCAATACTTCTTTCCCTGGTCGCTCCCTGGTTTCAACTCTTCTCCAGATACATTGCTATCCTCAGCACTTGCCTGCTCTCCAGTATGCTGAATACCCATCATGCCTCCACCAAATTCCATTTGGTGATTTGTTATTCCTGTTATCTGGTGTTTGGGCCACACTTGGTGATATCAGGGTTCGTATCCAGCATACTAAACATGAGTTCAGGGATTGGGGAGATAGCATGGCAGGGAGGGCACTTGCTTTGCACACATCGGACCTGGGTTCGATCCCTGTCATCCCATAAGGTCCCCTCAACACTGCCAGGCATGACTTCTGAGTGCAGAACCAGGAGTAAGCCCTGTGACCCAAAAACAAAACAAGCCAAAAAAAAAAAAAAACCCTAAAAAACAAAAACATAAGTCAGTCTGTTGTGCTCAGCCCATTGTGCCAGCTGTCTGAGCCCAGTTTCTTGTGTGTGGAACCACACCCCCACAGTTCTCAGGGGTTGCGATGGGACTTCATGTAATACCCCCTGGATCCAACCTGCTCCCCTTTCCCCCTCCCCCTGCACCCCCCCATAAAAAAAGCACATGTCTGAACATCTCTCCAACCCCGTTTGACTGTTGGGCAGCACCGGAGGTCTGGCCTCACACAGCTAAGCAAAAGCTCCATTTCCCAATGCATTCACATACACGTGTATATTTGCAGAGGGAGAGTCACACCGAGTGTTGCTCAGAAGTTACTTCTGGCTCTGCACTCAGGAATTACTCCTGGCACTGCTTGGAGCACCGTATGGGATGCCGGAGATCAAACCTGGGTCGGCAGCATGCAAGGCAAACGCTCCCCTGCTGCACTATTTCTCTAATCCCATTAACTTTTATTTTATTTGTGTGTGGCAGGAGGAGGGGGTGATTGAGCTACACCTATTGATGTTCAGGGACCTGGTTCTGTGCTCAGGAGTGACCCTTAGTGGTACTGGGGTAGTGGTGGTCATACGCAGAACCAAGGATTCAAATCCTCTCTCCAGTGACCACATGCAGGACTTTTGTTTTTGTTATGGGGCCACATCTGGCTTACTTGTGACTTAATCCAGCTTACTTCACGGCTTTGCACTCAGTGATCACTTCTGGTGGACTCTGGGTTATCGCATGTCATACTGGGGGTCAAACCCAGCATGCCCTGAGCAAGGCAGCCCTCAAGCTGCAACCTTAAAAATTTTTTTAATTTAAATTTTATTTTTATAAAGTTGTTCACAATCATTTATTGCATTCAATATTTTCAGCACTAATCCCATCACCATTATACCTTCCACCCACCAATATCTTGAATTTTCCCCACTACCATCCAAACCCACCCCAATGGCAGACCATAAATAATTTATTTTGTATTGCTTGTTATAATCCGCTAAAAATGATCAAAGTTTCCTTAGAAGAAAGTGTGTGAAGACTGTTGTATCTCAGCCTGGAGTCATTAAGCCCTTATATAGAGATTTACTATCATGCTGCATGTTGAACCTTGTGTGCTAATATATATATATATATATATTTTTTAATGGAAATCAGTTATCAGTTGCCTTCTGCTTTACCCCCCCATCCAACATGATGTGCTACTCCTGGTATATCAGTGGTGTAGAGTATAAGATGTTGCATGGCCACAAATGCAGTCACGTGCTTTAGAAATTCTAAAATTTTAAATAGATTGGTACACCTGGAGCTAAGTTTTTAACTGGATGGTGACTGGGGCTGGAGTGATAGCACAGCAGGTAAGACATTTGCCTTGTACGCAGCCGACCCAGGTTTGATTCCCAGCATCTCATATGGTCCCCCGAGCACCGCCAGGAGTAATTCCTGAGTGCAGAGCCAGGAGTTACCCCTGTGCATTGCCAGATGTGATCTAAAAAGCAAAAAAAAAAAAAAAACTAACAAAAAAAACCTAACTGGATGGTGACTTCGGGGTCTGAAGGCATGTCTGTGGCTTATTGCTGTCTTCCAACATGAGTCTCTGGATCATGGCCTAGAGAGCTTATATAGCGCCTGAGGCAGTTTCTGGGAGTGACTGCCAGGCTCCTAGAAGAACAGGGAGATGGGAGGAGGTGGCCCATTCCTGCCTCTGTGAGAACCTGGAGATTTTGGTCACAAAACTCGCATACCTGGGTTTTTCAGCAGATCCACTCATGGATGAGGCTTGTCTGAGCCTGTGGAGATTCACGGTGAGCATGGCTGCAATTGAGTTCTGGAGGTTTTTGGTTACTGGGCTCTGTTGGGGCAGACAAGTCCCACGACCTGTCCCCCCTCCAAGCCTTCCCAGATATGAGGTTCAGCCTGAGTGGGGTCCGGGGAGCATGTCTTAAGCTGCTACATTTTGAACCCCACCCCTTGCTAGAATATTCTAAGCTCAGCTATTCAATCGATAAACTCCGCCTCTAGGATATCTTCCCTCCCACTCCTTTTATTGGAGCAAAAATTCCAGGAACCGTTTTAGACTCTTGCCAGTGGTTATCCATCCTCTGGGCCATGGAAGAGTTGGGTCCCTCCAAATTCTCTGTGGCAAGACCTGCTCCTTGGAGTAGGAGTGATAGTACAGTAGGGAGGGCATTTTCTTTTTTTTTTTTTTGAAGTAGTTCTGTAGCACTGTCTTCCCGTTGTTCATCGATTTGCTCGAGTGGGCACCAGTAACATTTCACTATAAACTGTGAAACTTGTGGTTACTGTTTTTGGCATATTGAATATGTCACAGGTAGCTTGCCAGGCTTTGCCGTGCGGGCAAGATACTCTCGGTAGCTTGCCGGGCTCTCTGAGAAGGGCAGAGGAATCCAACCAGGTCAGCCGCATGGAAGGCAAACGCCCTACTCACTGTGCTATTGCTGCGGCTCTGTATCATACAATGAATAGTAAAGCATTTTATTTGGAGGTTTTGAAGGGAAGGAGGTAGAGAAAGTTGGAGAGAGTGGAGAGTAACACACTCAAGAGAGAACACGGGCTTCTCCAAGGGCAGAGAGCCCCTACAGACATCCCAGCATTAGACATGAAAGCATGAAAGTAGACATCTCAAGAGGGGAGATGCGGGCGACACACATACTCAGGCATCACATGTGCTTAGCCATGTGGGCGCAAGTAGACATGGGCTCAGGCAGCGTATGCACGGTGGGGGGGGTGGATTGCATTTTCCTTGCATGCAGCAGACCTGGGTTCGATCCTCAGTATCCCATATGGTGCCCCGAGCAATGCCAGGAGTAATTCCTGAGTGTAGAACCAGGAGTAACCCCTGAACATCACTGGGTGTGACTCAAAAAAACAAACAAATAAACAAAAGACCACCTCCTTTGTTGGTTTTGTTTGGTTTGTTTTTGGGTCACACCCAGCGATGCTCAGAGGTTGCTACTCCAGGCTCTGCACTTAGGAATTAGTACTGGCAGTTCTCGGGGGACCCTATGGGATGCTGGAGATCAAACCCAGGTTGACTGTGTGCAAGGCAAGGGCCTTACCCACTGTACTATCGCTCCAACCCCAATTTTGTTTTGGGGGCACACCCAGTAGTGTTCAGGGGTTACTCCTGGCTCTGCACTCAGGAATCACTTCTTCTGGCAGTTTTCTGGGGGCCACATAAAGAATGCTGGGAATCAAACCCAGGTCAGCTGCATGCAAGGCAAACACCCTACCCATTGTACTGTCTTTCCATTCCCAAGTCTGTCTCCTTAAAACTGACCTTCATTCTGAATTCAGGAGCTTGAGCTGAGCTCCTTGGGAAACGGAGGTGAGATTCAGTCAGCACTTGCCTGCTACTGGGTTTTCAACCGCCTTTTATCGTAAACCATAAATAACTACCAGCAGGCAGTAAGGAGAGGTGGGTGGCCATGAAGAGACAGGTGGGGCGTTTGAGTGGGAGGGTACAAGCTTGCTCAGACAGGGCATAGCTGCATGAGAAAATCAAGGCTCTAGAGCCAGTCCTGGGGCTGAGTCTTGGAGAGAATCTGATGCTGCTGAAATTGGAGGTAAAGGTGGGAACTGGTGACTGGGAACCTGGAATGTTTGCTCTGGCTGTAGAGTTTGAAGGACGTTGTTGGAGAGATGTTGGTGGTGTGGCAGAGCATGTGAACCCTGGATGTTGTCTGGGTGGGTACAGGGACCTACTTTTGTTATTAATGTCCCCCAAGCCTTGTTCATTTCCTCATGTACACTGACTGCAGCATCCTCTCCAAGAAGATCAGGGCAATTGGCATAAAACCAGAGAGAGGAAACAAAGGGCTTTGCAGGAACCAGAATTATAGTACAGTGGGTGAAGCACTTGCCTTGCACACGGCCAATGCATGTTTGATCCCCAGCTATGGTCCCTTGAGCCCCACCAAGAGTGATTCTTGAATGCAAAGCCAAGATTAAGCCCTAAGCATCTCCAGATGTGCCCCCTCCCAACACACACACAAATACAAAAAACAAAAAGGGCTTCGAAGGATTTTCATGAAGGAGTCCAGGGACCAGACATGGCCAGAAATGCAGAAATGACCCCTAGCACTGAGTCCAGCGTGAACCCACCCAGCACCACTATGTAACAATCATTAGATCACTTTTCAAAATTTGTTCATCTTTCCAAACAGAAACTACCTGTGAGCATGTGTGAGCCTCAATGATGTATTTTTATTTTATTTATTTATTTATTTTTGCTTTTTTGGTAATACCCGGCGATGCTCAGGGGTTGCTCCTCCAGTGCTTGGGGGACCATACGGGATGCTGGGACTCAAACCCGGGTCAGCTCCGTGCAAGGCAAACGCCCTACCCACTGTACTATCACTCCAGTCCCTACTTTTCTGATTGTTGGTGTTCTCGCTGCTTCATTCAGCCCAGTGTCTGTGGGCTCCCCCTGCCCCACCCCAGCCTCCCAGTGGATCCAAGTGTGCCAACTGTGTGTTCTCTCTGCCCTGCTCTCAGGTCAGTGACTGGTGGGAAGAATTTGTGTACCTGCGTTCCCGAAACTCATTGATGGTGAACAGCAACTATTATATGATGGTGAGAAGGGAAGCAAGAGGGATGGAGAGGGGCCTGGAGCGATAGCACAGTGGGTAGGGCGTTTGCCTTGCATGCGGCCAACCCAGGTTCGAATCCCAGCATCCCATATGGTCCCCCGAGCACCGCCAGAAGTAATTCCTGAGTGCAGAGCCAGGAGTAACCTCTCTGCATCGCCGGGTGTGAACCCCCCTCAAAAAAAGAGGGATGGAGAGATAGGACAGCAGGTAAAGCACTTGTCTTGTATGCAGCCGACCTGGGTTCAATCTCCAGCATCCCATATGGTCCCCAAACCCTCCAGGACCCTGAGAGAAGAGCCAAAAGTAAGCCCTGAGTACCACCGGGGATGCCAAATTTAAAAATAAAAGGAGGTGTGTAGAAAGAGAACAGGACACATAGAACAGAGCATAAGGCGCTTGCTTTGCATGCAGCTGACCAGGTTCAATCTCTGGAACCACGTGATCCCCTGGCCCTGCCTGAGCACAGAGCCAGGGTAACCCCTGAGAATGTGCATCCACCCTCCAACCCCCCAAAAAAGGAGAGAAGAAAGCTAGGGGTGATGTGGGGGTTTGTGTCCTTAGCACCCTGGGTCTCGGGTTGGGTGACTGGGTATAATGTGAATTTTATGGCCCTTTCCTTGAATTGAATCCAGAAATTAAATATTCTTCTCTCTTCGTGCCCCCATTGGGGCAATCCTGAAACCATTCTCTTCCCTTCTGATGCCCTTAGGACTTCCTGTATGTGACCCCCACACCACTGCAGGCAGCTCGCGCCGGAAACGCGGTCCACGCTCTCCTCCTGTACCGCCACCACCTCAACCGCCAGGAGATCCTGCCGGTAAGAGGTGGGCAACCTGGAGCAGAGGCCTAGCTGTGGTCCCTACTGGTGGTGGTCCCTGTGGGAACGTGGTCCAAGGCATGGGTGTAGTTCAGGTGGAGGGCTGGTCCTGGTGGGGCGTGGTCCCGGCAGGGGCGTGGCCTCAGAGGGGGCGTGTTCCCGATGGGGCATGGGGGGGGCACGTGTCACCAGCAGGCTCTCTCCTACAGACATTGCTGTTGGGAATGCGGCCTTTGTGCTCAGCGCAGTACGAGAAGATATTCAACACCACTCGCATTCCCGGCATCTATAAAGGTGAGCCCCCGAGCCAGAGAGATGATGGTTTGAAGGGCCAGAGAACAGATTTTGCATGCGGAATGCCCCAGGTTCGATCCCCACGTTGCATGGCTCCCCACTTCCCCGGCGTCAGAAGTGACCCTCAAACCTTTAGTGGGGTTTGGTCCAAAACCAAAAAACGAAAATAGAAAAAAAGGTGAAGTGAGACTTAGTTCTCTGGCTGCCATGTGGTACCATGAGCCCTGTGTGCATCCTTTTTTTTTGGTTGGGTCACACCCAGCGATGCACAGGGGTTACTCCTGGCTCATGCATTCAGGAATTACTCCTGGCAGTGCTTGGGGGACCATATGAGATTCTGGGAACCAAACCGGGTCGGCTGCGTGCAAAGCAAACTCCCTACCCGCTGTGCTATTGCTCCAGCCCCACCTGGCTGCATACTTGACCAGGTTAAAACCTTCGTGGTTGCCAGATAGATGGGTTAAGGCACTTGCCTTGCATCCTGAGTCCCCACCACCGTATATGATCGCCTGAGCTCAGCCATCGGTGGTGACTCCTGATCACAGAGCCAGAAATAGCCCCTGATTACCACAGGGTGGCACCCCCCCCCAAAAAAAAAAATAATGACAGGGTAAAGTGTATGCTTTGTATGTGAGTGATCCCTGAGCAGAAATCCAAGAGCAGCCCCCAGCAGGACTGAGCGTGCGCTCTCCAAAGAAGAACAAGAACACTGCTGGTGTGTGTGGGCCCTGATGAAGACAGTGGGCTCTATTCTCTTGCTACTACTTGCGCCCTCCTGCTCCCCACTTTGGCTGCCCCTAGACCACATCCACCACCTAGATGACAGTCGCCACGTGGCTGTCTTCCACCGAGGCCGCTTCTTCCGCGTGGGGACCCACTCTCCCAGCGGCCTGCTGTCCCCGCGGGCCCTGGAGCTGCAGTTCCAGCGGATCCTGGATGACCCCTCGCCCGCTTGTCCCCTCGAGGAACATTTGGCTGCCCTTACGGCCGCCCCCAGGTGAGAGTCAGAGGTCCCGCCGGTGGCCAGTGTCAGGGGACAGATGGGCGGATGCCGGATGGTCGGGGCCTTGCCGGAGGGGCGGGGCCGTGGACGGAGAGCTAAGACGTACCCAGCTGCACAGGGACCAGTGGGCGCAGGCGCGGTGCAGCCTGAAGAGGCAGGCTCAGGAGACCTTGGAGACCGTGGAAGGGGCCGCGTTCTTTGTCTCGCTGGACTGTGAGCCCCGGGGGCTTATGAAGGAGAACCCCGCAGCCTCCCTTGATGCCTATGCTCACGCCCTACTGGCCGGAAGGGGCTACGACCGGTGAGTGTGCGGGGGTATCCGGAGGGACTGGGTCTGCACCCCGCAGCTGGGTATCTGGGCTCCCAGGGTTAGGAGCCACCCTCAATCTGTGCACTCATCCCTTGGGGAGGAGCCCTGGGCTCAGGAACCCAGATGTGGGCTCCTGTGATCCAGGATTTGGAGAGTTGGGGGGACTTTGGGAGCATATGTTAGAGCAAGGGTCAATGAATATGGGGTGGTGGGAGGTGGTCAAACTGACTCAGATCAGAGCAACAATCCCCAGATCTGTACCTCCAGAGCTAGAACCCCAGTCCTGGAGGCCACAGATTCAGAAAGATGGAATCCCCATCCTTGGGGCCCTGTACTCACCCTGCTGAAAGTTGTCCTAACAACTTTTGGCACCCCACATGCTTCAAGGCTTTCTCTGCAGGTCCTCCTAAGTTCCCCCAATTCTCCAATCCCCAGATACATCTCAGGCAATCCAGAACCACCACCGAAAATCCCCAATCTCTTAGTGATGCTAAGATGCACCAGGACAGGACCAGAGCCCAGGTTCCCTGACCCCCAACCCCTACTAGGTTCACACAGAGCACCCTAACTCTTCTTTCCCCCCCCCCCAGTCATTGGTGACCACTGTCTTTTGGTTTGGGGGCCACCCCCTGTGATACTCAGGGGTGACTCACAGCTCTGTGCTTGGGGGTTGCTCCCTGGGATGCTGGGATTGGAACCTGCACTCAGCGCCTGGAGCCTTCTTTCAGGCCCGGGGTGATGGCGCCCAACTCTCCCTCCCTAGCTGGTTTGACAAATCCTTCACCCTCATCGTCTTCTCCAACGGGAAGCTGGGGCTCAGCGTGGAACACTCGTGGGCGGACTGCCCTGTCTCAGGACACATGTGGGAGGTAGGGCCAGCAGCAACGCCCCGCCCTGGGCTCCAGCACCCCCTCTGCCAGCGACCATCTTCTCCTGGGTCTATGTCAAAGGAAAGGCTCGAGAGAGGCCGGGATGGGACACTGTGATCCCTCCACAAAGAAATGGGTGTGGGATTGTGCAGTGCTTTTGACCGTCGGGGATAGACAAGCGGTATGTGACCCAGGGTGAGCGTTAGAATCCAGAACGCTCGTTCTATGCCCATGAATGAGGTCTCCTACCCTCCACCCCCTGATCCAGACCAACCCGCTGGATTTGCCGGGCCACTGTCCCTCAGTGGCTCACACCCTGACCTTTTATTCAGCTATGGGAGACACATCTGGTGGCAGTAGGCGACATTTCCTGGCAAAGTGCTTATGTACAGTTGCACCCAGCGGTGCTGGGGGGCTGTGTGGTTCTGGAGGTGGAACTGGGTCCTCCTGCATGCAAAGCTCATGCTCTATCCAGTGAGTGTTTCTCTAAGCCCTGGGCTTCCCTGTTTTTTTTTTTTTTATTGTTGTTGTTGTTTTGGTTTTTGGTTTTTGGTCCTGGCTTCTGGCTCTGTGCTCAGGAATCACTCCTGGTGATGCTCTCGCTTGTGTACAAGGCAAGCACCCTCCTGCTGTACTGTCACTCTGGCCTCCTGACTGTCTTTGCTTGTAAATGAAACTTAGTTCATTTTTATCTCTGGCCCATTCATAGCCACATAACATAGACCCTAGCTAGGGACCCTGTCACGGGAGGAGCGACAGTGACAGCTGCCTCTGTTTGCAGTTCATGCTGGCCACTGAGTGCTTTCAGCTGGGGTACTCGGCTGATGGGCATTGCAAAGGGTGCCCAGACTCCACGTTGCCCCAGCCCCAGCGGCTGCATTGGGATCTCCCAGACAAGGTGAGGAGGTTTTGACTCTAAATGCACCCCATTCCTTCCCCTTCTCAGTACCTCTGCCCAGTGGTACAGCTCCATTTCAAGTCAGACTTCCCCCGCCCTGCACCCTCCCTCCAGGCCCCAACCATTCTGAAATCTCACCTCCTCAACCCCAACTGTAACCCTGACAATCTCATCTTTTCCACTCTGAGCCTTCCCCCAGCCTCAGGCCTCACCTTCAGTCTGGTCTCAGCAAACTCAGGCCTCAGAGTCCCTTCCCCCCACAGTGGCAAACTCAGTTCCTTCATCTCAATAACCCAATCCCGCAACCTAATATCCTTCCCCAACCTCCATCTCCTTCCTTTTATTTTTTTGTTTGTTTGTTTTTGGGTCACACCTGGCAGTGCTCAGAGGTTAACTCTTGGTGCTGCACTCAGAAACCACTCCTGGCGGTGCTCAGGGACCATATGGCATGCTGGGAATCGAACCCGGGTTGGCCGTGTGCAAGGCAAACTCCCTACCTGCTATGCTATCGCTCCAGCCCCTCAGAGGTTACTCTTGGTGCTGCACTTAGGAACTACTCCTGGCAGTGTTCAGGGACCATATGGGATGCCAGGAATGGAACCCGGGTTGGCTGTGTGCCAGGCAAATGTCCTACTCTCTTCAACCCCATCTCCTTCCTACTTAACCCAATCTCCTTCCCAACCATCCCCATCCCAAACCCCAGTCTTCTTCCTCCCTGACCCAACCAGAAAACCAGCACATTCCTGCCCCCAGATCCCCCCTTCCCTGCCTTCCTCCCCACATCCATCCCTTCACCTGGCTCAGCCCCAGTTGCCTTCACTGTCCCCAGACCCCTAATTCACCCCTACCAGAACTCCATTCCCAGCTCCAATCCTACCCCATGTCTAATTCTGGCCACTGCTCCCCTAGATTGACCTGTCCATCTCTCTGGCCCTGAGGGGAGCCCAGATCTTGGCTGAGGACATCGACTGCCACGTCTTCCCCTTCTCCCACTTTGGCAAGGGCTTCATCAAACACTGCCACCTGTCCTCCGACGGCTTTATCCAGATGGCCTTGCAGCTGGCCTACTTCCGGGTCAGTTGACTCCTGTGACCATAGCCTCATTCACAGAACACCTTTCGTTTTGGAAGGGCGGGGGCTTGGATTTTGAGTCATACCCACAAGTGTTCTGGGATTGGTGGTCCTTCCTTCTAATGCTGGGTCTAACCCAGAGGGCCCGCTTGTCATGTGTGCACTCTGGCTTTCAGTGCCATCGGGTGGGGCCCTCATGGGAATTTTCCCAGACTTCTCAGTCATTGCTGCATCATTTGTCTCTCTGACCACTCACAGTACTTGGTGGAGGAGGCTGAGTGGGTGGCGATGCCTGGAGCCCACCAACGGACTCTTCTTCTTGTCCCCAGGACCGGGGCCGATTCTGCCTGACGTATGAGTCAGCAATGACCCGCTTGTTCCTTGAAGGCCGGACAGAGACTGTGCGGTCTTGTACGAGAGAATCTTGCAATTTTGTGAGAGCCATGGAGTCCCGGGAGAGGCTGGTAGGTATGGCCCGACGCGGTGCTCATTTTTCCCTCTAACTCGGACATTTGCACACATGTCTGGTACCCCTGTGGCGGCCAGGCCCCAGGATGAGTGTAATGAACCAGGCCAGGTCATACTTGGGCGATCTGACCCCAGATCACTCCCTGATGTAGTGGGTGTGTGTTGGGGGGGAGGTGGTTAGCACAGAACCACTGGAGAGCACCCCAAGAGTCTTGAACCCATCTAGAGCTCTCTTTGATCATATAACCTTTGCTTACACTGTTCCATATATTCTCTCTATTGGTGACTTTGGTTTTTTCATTTTGGGGGCCACACCTGGAAGTGGTCAGGCTCAACTCCTGGCTTTGTGCTCAGAATTACTGCTGGCAACATTCAGGGGACCCTATGAGGGTCGGCCACATGCAAAGCAAGAACCTTTTATACTATCTCTCCGACCCCTATCAGTGGCTTTAGACTCTAGGTCCTCAGACCATTGGTGGCCTACAGAGATTTCCTGTCAGCTTATGAAAAAAATATTTCTGCTTCACTGATGGTGGTTTGCAACCAACATCCACAATCATCACCCACAAGTGTTTTTAAAAAAATGGTTGGGAGGCCAAAGAGATAGTACAGCAGGTAGAGCACTTGCCTTGCATGTGACCAGGTTTGATCCCCAGCATCCCATATGGTCCTTGAGCATTGCTAGGAGTAATTTCTGAATGAGTGCAAAGTCAGGAGTCAGCCCTGAGCACTGCCTGGTGTGGCACTCAAAACAACAACAACAGCAACAACGGAAAGTTGAAAACCCATACTCTGAGCTCAGGGTTTGCAAGCAGGAGGCCTGAGTTCAACCCCTGGCACTATAGGGTCCCCCAAGGACAGAGTATCCTCCAAGAATTGCCAGGGATAGCCTCAACCCAACTAAAAAATAAAACAACAAAACCCAAACCAATGCTCAATATAATCTCTTTCTCCAAACATCCCATGTACCTGTGTCCCTCAGCCCACGATATCAGGTATCAGACCTGGGCATGCATTAGATTCTGCTTTGCTGGGTGAATCTGGGCCTCAGTTTCTCACAGTAAAATAGTTACCTCTGCCTTGTAAGGCACATTAAAAACTGGGTTAAGGACTGATGTTCAACAGACCTGGAAGTAAGCTCCCTTCCTGTCTTTCCATGACCTGTAACCTCTTGGGGACCCTAGGCCCCACAGTGCCTGGCCCTGTTCCGTCTGGCTGTGGACAAGCATCAGGCTCTGCTGAAGGCGGCTATGATTGGACAGGGCGTCGACCGCCACCTCTTTGCCCTCTGCCTCGTGTCCCAGTTCCTCCACCTGCCGTCACCATTCCTGGACCAGGTTGGGGTGCAGGATAAGTGTTAAAGAGGGAAACGGGGAACCCCTGGAGAAGGGAGGCACTTCAGGGCAAGTAGGGCATATGGGGGGATAGTGATGAGCGCAAGAGAAAAATGAAAAATGAGAATGAGGAGGGGCAGGGCCACGGAGCGGACCAGGGCTCTAGAGGAGGGCGTGGCCATGAAGAAGGGGTGGGGCATGAGGAGAGGGTGTAACTATAAAGGAGGGGCGGGGCATGGTGAGATGGGCGGGGCATGGCGAGGTGGGCGTGGCCACGGGAAGGTGGGGCACGGCGGAAAGGGGCGTGGCGCGGAGGAGGGTGGCTCTGTGGGGAAGGGGCGTGGTCATAGAGATGAGGAGGGGCTTGGGGCATGGCGAAGCAGAGGGGTGGAGTCAAGTAAGCCAAAACCCTGAGGGGGTCCCTAAAGAAACGCAGGGGCTGGACGTTGGAAGGGCCTTGTGGAAGGGTGCAGGTGAGTCGGTATGTCCGCCACTGGAGCCCAGCTCCTGTCCGCAGGTTCACTCGGAGCAGTGGCTTCTGGCCACCAGCCAGATCCCTGTTCAGCAGACACAGCTGTTTGACGTCCACAACTTCCCCGACTACATTTCCTCCGGGGGTGGATTCGGGCCTGTGAGTAGAGCTGGGACCCTGGAGGCCCTGGGGGGAGGAGGAGAACGCTGGGCTCTGTGCTGAGGGTGGTGGCGGCGGCAGGGGCAACCCGGCTCCATGGGTCGCTTCCTGCCCCTCTGCAGGCTGATGACCACGGCTATGGCGTTTCTTACATCTTCATGGGGGAAGACGTGGTCACCTTTCACATCTCTAGCAAGAAATCAAGCACAAAAACGGTGAGGCAGCCGGGAACACGCCCCACCCTCTCCCGCAGACCCAGGGCTCAAAACCCGCAACCTCCTCCCTCAGACCCAGAAATCCAGATTCCAGCCGCTCCTTCACACCCCACGATCCTTACCACCAGCCTGTGGCCAGCCCCCGGAGTGCACCCTGCCCTGCTGACCCTCACCTGCCCCTGTTTCTCCCGCCAGGACTCGCACCGCCTGGGCCAGCACATCCAGGACGCTTTGCTGGACATTGCTTCCTTGTTCCCAGAGAGACAGAGTCTCGTGCAAAGGGCCAGCGGGGCAGGGGAGAAGGATTTGAGGCACAGGTTTGCATCTTCCTCTGTTTTAAGAATTCCACAGCGCCCTCTGCCCTTGCAGCCCACATGGTAGGGAGCTGGTCTTCTCAGACTTTATTTTTATTTTTATTTTATTTTTTTATTCTTTTTGGGTCATAACCGTAGATGCACAAGGGTTACTTCTGGTTCATGCACCCAAGAATTACCCCTTGCAGTACTCAGGGGACCATATGGGATTCTGGGAATCGAACCCGGGTTGGCCATGTGCAAGGCAAACGCCCTACCTGCTGTGCAATTGCTCCAGCCCCTTCCCAGACTTTAAAGGGGTTATCTCTCTGCCCCATCTGGTGCAGGCCGGAGGCACCTGTTTGAGCCTGGAAATCCCACACCTGTCAATAATAGATGGTGCACCACTATACAACGTCCACTGAGCTCCTGAGCCAGTGGGGGCAGGAAGAGTTGAAGGGCCTCATCCCCATTCACCTACCCAACCCTGAATTCCCTGCCACAGTCCAAACTTCAGCTGAGTGCTCTATTCCCAGGGTCCTGTCACTGTCACTGTCCTGTTGTTCATCGATTTGCTCGAACGGGCCCAGTAGCATCTCCATTGTGAGACTTATTACTGTGTTTTGGCATATCGAATATGTCACTGGTAGCTTGCCAGGCTTTGCCATGTGCGCGCGATACTCTCGGTAGCTTCCAGGCTCTCCGAGAGGGGCAGAGGAATCGAACCTGGCTTGGCTGGGCCAGCCGCGTAAAAGGCAAACGCCCTACCGCTGTGCTCTCACTCCAGCCCAAAACAGCCAATCCGGGGCCTGATCCACCAGCCTACACTGCTCAGTGGCCCCTGCTGGTGTGGCACATTCCAAACATGCCCCCAGGATTTCTTTTTTGTTTTTGTTTTTGTTTTTTGATGTTTGGGTCACACCTGGCAGTGATGCTCAGGGTTTACTCCTGGCTCTTCCCTAAGGGATTATATCTGGCAGTACTTTGGGACCCTGTGGGAATGTTGGGTCAGCCGCATGCAAGGCAAACATCCTCCCCACTGTACTGTTGCTCTGGCCCGGGGCCCAGGATTCCAATGCCCATCACTGCCATTTCCATCTCCACCTTCATCTCCACCTCTGCCATGGCTTTGGTAGAGGGAGGGTGCCCGGGTACGGCCCCCAGACTTTGCTGCACCCAAGTTCTCCATGGCAGCTCACATGGCAGCCCAGGCTGTGCACATGAGAGGCCCTGTGGGTGTTTCTTGGTCCGCCTCAGTACCCCTGTGTATGGCCCTGATGTTTGGTGGGGTCCGTGGGTGACTTCTGCGAAGTGGGGCGGAGAGGGGTGGCAACCTAGAGAAAGGAATTTGCAGCTTTCTCTTGCTCTCCCTCTATCCTCTGGGAATCTCCCTCTGTCCTCTGGGAATGGCTGGGGGAATCTAGAACTGGCGAGGGTCAGCTGTGAACCTGGCACCCTGCAGGGAAGCAAAGCCAGTCGTAGACCTTCCCCAGGCCTTTCAGGTTTCTGCCTTTCCCTCTCAGGAAAGAATTTCAGTCAGGGAAGTTAAAATAGGTTTTATTTGGAAGCTTTTAGGAAAGGTGGGGGAGAAACAGAGAGAAACACACTCAGGAGAGAACTTGGGCTTCTCCAGAGGGGACAGGGAGCTTGGCACACATCCCAGCGTTCCATATAGAAGTATGAAAGTCCACATCTCAAGAGGGGACATGCAGGTGACACATATTCTCAGGCAGCACATGCTTTGGCAGTGACACATGGACACAGGCTGCACATAGGTTTGGCTGCATATGCATGCACTTCAGCTCTTTTTTTTTTTTGCTTTTGGGCTCACACCCAGCGATGCTCAGGGGTTACTCCTGGCGGTACTTGGGGGACCATATGGGATGCTGGGAATAGAACCTGGGTCACCCGTGTGCAAGGCAAATGCCCTCCCCGCTGTGCTATCGCTCCAGCCCCACACTTCAGCTTTTATAGGGTTTTTGCCAAGCGGCAAATGAGGGGCTTTTCACTTAGGTAAGAGGTCATTGCTAGGGTGGTTGCCAAGGGGTAAAGTTGGGAGCTCTTTGAAATTCCTTTCCTGGCCTTTGTTCCTGCTGGAGTTTGCGGGGTGAGGTGGGGGGTTTAGGCTTCTCTGGGTCTGGATTGGCACCAGGTAAAGGTGTTTTCAGGCCTTAGTTTTAGTGCTCACAAGGTGGGTTTTTAGCAGCCTTATGGCTAGTTGGTTTTATTCTCAAGAACTCATTGCTATGGGGGAAGCCCTTATCTACCCAGGTGGGGTTTCAGCCTTAGATGCCCCCACAAGAACAAGAAATACCAACTGTCCCCTGTGACCGTGGCTTCTTCCTATGGTCTCGTGCAGTTACACCCGCCATCAGTGCTAGAGGCCACTGGAGAGAGGGGCGGTGTGTCCAGTCCCCAATACCTCCTCACATGCCCAAGGGCCATGCTCAGGGTTCCACCACCACCTGTGCCAAGTACCTCTTACCCTGGTCATCTCAGCTACAGCAGGGGAGAGGGAGGAAGAAAATCACCAGTACCTTCACACCCCACCCAAACCCCAGTCATCCAGCATCCACCCCAGGACTCTGACAGCTGCAGGATCAAGTGCCCTGGGCTTCCACCAGTCCAGCATGGCATCAGCCCAACAACAAACCAGAACCCAGAACCGTCTGGGTGAGATCGATAGGACAGCGGGTTGGGCGCTTGCCTTGCACGCAACTGACCCAAATTTGATCCCCGGCATCCCATAGCATCCCCGAAGAAGTGATTCCTGAGTGCAGAACTAAGAGTAACCCCTGAGCAAAATCGGGTGTGGCAAAAAAAAAAAAACTTAAGGGGCTGGATCGATAGCACAGTGGGTAGGACATTTGCCTTGCCTACCCAGGTTCGATTCCCAACATCCCATATGGTCCCCTGAGCACTGCCAGGAGTAATCCCTGAATTCCTGAGTACAGAGCCAAGGTAACCCCTGTGCATTGCCAGGTGTGACCAAAAAGAAGCAAAAAAAAAAAAAAAAAAAAAGAAATCCTTAAAAATCCAGAACCCCTTTTCTGCCCCCCACCCGCTGACCCCAGTGGGTCCCCACAACTGCCTTAGTTCTCTTCCCCAGAGTGAGCTCCTTTGTTGTTGGATTTTGTTTTTTTGATTTGAAGAATCAGGTAGATGTGCCTCAGCGCTGAGTGACGTTCTGGATTCCTTCTGTCTCCTGAGCCCTTTGCCCCGGGAGCATCGGCCCCACGGCAGACCCACAGCAGCTGCGCAGAGGTGCTGGGATGGAGAGTTGCGCTCGGCCAATAGCAGCCTTGGGGAGAGATGTGGAGGGTCTCGCTGTGGCTCTGGTTCCCGTTCTTCAGCCCCCGTCAAACCTTCAGATGAGTGCCGCCTGGCATACCTTGCCAAGACCTCTGAGACCCTGGGTGGGAACTGTGGGATAATACATGTTTTGTGTTTTAATTTGTTTGGTTTTGCATTTTGTGTGCTTCGAGTTGCTCTAGGGAGCCTCCCAGTAGTGCTGCTGCACCTTGTGGTCCCAGGGGGCCAACCAAGATCAGCTGCACCTGAACCGAGGTACCCCTCTTCCTTGGGTTATTTTATTTTGGGGTCACACCAAGCAGTCCTCAGGACTTACTTCAAGCCCTAATTAGGCACAGAGATCACTCAAAACACTCAATGGGGACCCTATGTGGTCCTCTATGTGGTGTTAGGGCTTGAATTCTCTGGGCTTGTATGCAAGGCAAGTGTTTTAACTCTGGACTATCTATATGGTCCCCTCATTGGTCTAGTTCTTTTTTTTTTGTTCTGTTTTGTTTTTTGGGGGGACCACACCTGACAGCAATCCAGGCTTACTCCTGGCTCTGCACTGAGGAATCACTCCTAGTGGGTGTGGTGGACCCTCATGGGGTCTTGAGTATCAAACTAATTTGATCAAACTCCAGCCCCTGATCTAGTTCCTTAGAAGATCTTCAGAAGATTTGCATCAAAGGCTTTACAAAATAAATAAACACCAAGGGGCAGAGCAATAGTACAGTGGGTAAGGGATTTGCCTTGCATGAAGTTGACCCCATATGGTCCCCCAGAACCCACCAGGAGTGATCCTTGAGGACAGAGGCAGGAGTAAGCCCTGAGCACTGCCAGGTGTGGCCATGAAACAAAACAAAACCCCATCCTCTTGTGGTTGGACTGTGCATGCACTAAAGTATAATGTGATTTGGACAGAATGAATAGTATACTTTCAGACTTAACTATTCAGGAAAAGAATCAGTTTTTGGTGTTGGAGAACTTTAAGAAGCAGATAGTTGGGGACCAGACCAATAGTCCAGCAGGGCGGGCACTTGCCTTGCTCGCAGTTGACACAGGTTCTACCTCTAGTACCCCATATGGTCCCCCAAACACTGTCAGGAGGAATTCCTGAGTGCAGAGCCAGGAATAAGCTCTGAGCATCCCTGGGTATGTCCCCAAAATAAAAAAGAAAGCAGATACTTGGACATTAGGAATATGAAATTAACTTACACATAGTAGCCAGTCCTGGCACACACCGCTCGTTGTATATTTGGCGATTGGCTTGTGTTTTGGGCCACAACTGGTGTTGGGAGCTCGAGATTATTCTGGGCTTTGTGCTGGGGTGAGGAGCTATTCCAAGCCCTGTGCTTGAGGTTACTCGTTATGGTGCTGGGAGACCATGTGTGCTGGGGATTGGACCCGAGGCTCCTTCATGGAAAGGCTGTAATCAGGAGCTGGAGCAGTAGTACAGCAGGTAGGGCATTTGCCTTGCACATAGCTGAATGTGTTTGATTACCGGCATCCATATGGTCCCCTGAGCACTGCCAGGGTGACTTAAGTGCAGAGCTAGGAGTAAGCCCTGAGCATCGCCAGATGTGCCACACACACACACACACACACACACACACACACAAAGCCTGTGCTCAGCCCCACTGTGCTCTCTCCTGCGAGAATATCAGAATGTGTGCACCAAACAGTTTCTTGGTTTCAAATTCACCCTCCTTTTCCCCAGCGAAAGGTAGCCACAGCACTGAAACATCTGCCCCTAGTATTGCCAGGAGTGGCCCCGGTGCCCTCTAAGCACTGCTCTGGAGGGCCCCCAGACCAAACCTAACCAAACCAGTCCATCCTCCTATGCTAGGCTTTGGGAATCCGGCTGGGACACTGAAAATCACACTTCCGCCTTCCTAACCAACCAGGCCACTAGGGGGTATCAGAGAGACAAATGCGCCCCAGACAGCCAAATAGCTCCCGAAGCTCATTAGCATCATCATCCGCTACAGCTGCGTCCCAGCAGGGCTCGGGAACCTGGTGCTGGGTATCTAACCTGGGTCAGCCAAATGCATTGCAAGTGCCCTTCCCGCTGTACTGTCCTCCTCACCCTTGTTTTGATGATTTTTAGGTCACACCTAGCTGAGCTCAGCTGATAACTCCTGCTCAGTGCTTGGGGCTTCGTTCCCAGATTTCCCTGCAGTGCCAGGGATGGAGAAATTCGGGCTCAAGCCCAGTTATTTACCTCCGGAGTCTTCTTCCTTTTTTTTTGGTTCTTCCATATCTGACTTCGTGCTCAGAGCTTACTCTGGGGTGCCAGGGATCAAACCTGGATGAGCAGCGTGCAAGGCAAACACCCTACTCTCTACACTATTGCCCCATTCTTTTTGGTTTTGTTCTGTATTGGGGCCACACCCAGCGATGCTCAGAAATTACTCCTGGTGGTGCTCCGGGACCATATGGGATCGAACCAGGTCAGCCGCATGCAAGTTAAGTGCCCTCCCCGCTGTGCTCTCTCTACAGCTCCTCTTTCTACCTCTATGAGCCCATGGGTCCTCCCAGAAGTGCTTCGGAGACCAGAAGCCACTCCTGGTGACACTCAAAAGTGGGTGCTGGGGGACTCCAGGGATGGGGAGTGCGTGCTGCCAGGAATCAAACTCTACATGCAAGGCACCTGCTCCAGTCCTTGAGCTATTTCCCTGGTGTCTTTTCATTTTGCTTTTTGGGCTCCACCCAGCAGTGCTCAGAGTTTACTCCTGGCTCTGTGCTCAGGAATCACTCCTAACAGGACTCAGGGTACTGGAGCACAAACCCAGGTCAAATGTGTACAAGGCAAGCTCTGTACACACTGTACTTTCTCTCTAGCCCTATAATGAGACAAACAACTACCCCCCCCCCCACACACACACAAAAAAATCCGAAGTGAAAGCCAGAGCTGCGCCATCAGCAGCTCTCTGCCTCTCCGCCAGGCATGAGTCATCCAAGCAGAGGCTGTTTTGGGGTGCATGGAACTGATCAGTCCTTGTTTTGATGCCAAAGAGACACAGGATTCATGCCAGCATGAGGGGCCATTTATTGTTCTGGGGTTTGGCCCCCCCGTTTGGGGGGACTTCCCCCGCCACTTGCTCCCCCCATTGTCCCCGTGGACCCTTCAAGTGGCAGGTTGCTGAGTTGATCGTGGAGGGAACACATCTTCAAATGCAGATAATCCAGAGTGGCCGCCTTCTCCCTGTGTGACAGAGCAGGGAGGGGGGTGGGCGTGGATGGTGCGGCATGCCAGCAGGCTGGAGGAGCAGAGGCGTCCTGCCTTTCCGCCAAGATGTCACCTCCTCCCATGCCCTCCGCCTCCTTCCTCACTCCGGCTTCATCTTGTCCGTCAGCAGCAAATTCTTGGCCCGCAAGGCTTCGTCCTGGGCCAGCTTGAGGGTGGAGCTCAGGGCCTCTGCGCGGACGTGCTTGGCCAAGGCCTGGCGCTCCAGCTCCTGGGAAGAGGAGTGTGGGCCCAGCTGGGCTTGCGGAACTGGGCTGGGGGTGGAGGGGAGCTGGATCGCGGAGGGCAAGGGGCAGGATCCCAGGGGGCCCAGGTGCCTCCCCCGGGGTAGATCCCAGTGGTGCCCCCCTCATGCCCACCTTTCCCAGCAGGCCTGGATTTGTCCCCCATGTGCGCTGGCTCCCTATGTCCCAGCAGGTGCTAAATCAGGATCTGCCACTCGGCCACTCATCAGCTGAGTGTCTGGGCCCTTGTCTCTGTCACAGGGTGCCCTACAGCCCATCATGCATGGAACCACACAATGCCCTTTTCTACGAGTCCCACCAGCTGGCACAAGGCTGCCTTGAGGTGTTATGGCCCACATGACCTCATCTAGTTCATCCCATAGCTTTGTCCCATAAATGTCCCATTGGGCTCCCTGGCTGTGTCACCCACTATAACTTCTATCCCAGCATGCTCTAGGCATCATCCCCAGTGCACATCGGACCCAGACCTAATCTACCAACTACTCAAAACCATTGACGTTCAGTGGATCTAGATATTTTTTAAGAGTCACCTCTGACCCCTGTAATGTCTTGATTGCCTTTCTTTCAGTAGGGGGCTCCTAAATAATGCTCAGAGTTCCAGGAGACCCCACCGTCAATTCTTGGCCACTGGCCCTATGTTTAGGGGTGCCTGGGGCAATTACCTGGACCATCCTGGCAGTAAGCGGGGCCTTCTAATCCTATACCCACAATGCTTGGGGGACCATGTGGTGTCAGGGGTTGAACTTAGGGTGGGCGCATGCATTTTATCTTCTGGCACCCACACTGGTAGTCTAGGGTCTTGGGAAAGTTCACTAGGAGAGTTTCCTATGTCCTATAATACATGGGAACAGTGTCCCATCTGCTTATCCAGTCTCCATCCCGAGGATTCTGCCCTTGGACCCAACTCTTGGCCCCTCTGCTCCACACTCCAATGCATGTCTGGGTTCCCTGGCATCTGCTGCCCATAACTCAGCCCTCTCCATCCTGCCACACACCAGCTATTCCCCTCGTGCCCAGGGCTCCCCTCCCTCTGAAAAGTAGGGTAGGATGGGCCTTGGTTCCTTGTACCAGAATTTTCTTGTGTAGTCTCTGGCAGCTGGGGCAGGCGGGGGGCAGGCCCCTCTGCTTCACCTCGTCCACCAGTGGCGTTAGAGCTCGCTCCAGCAGCTGCTGCAGGGTTTCTGTGGACAACTGCTGGCTCTGGCTGTGGGGAGAGGGCACTAGGATAAAGAGGCCCACCCCTCCCGCCCTGGTGCCACTGCGCATGCACTGGTTCTTCCCATCATGCACCGGGGCACCCCTTCAGTGCCAGTGCAGGGAATTCCAGCCCAGGGATGTCCACCACCCAAGGGCATCAGATGGCTACAGACTCATCTTTCCCACCATGAACCAATTGAAATTCACCCCCTACCCCCACAGGGCCCAAGTATGTTGTGC